ACAAGAGGTGAATTACGGTTTCAAAATGATACAATTAAAAAAATTATCAAAGATTATTATGAGATACTTTACAAAGCAGAAAAAATTCCAAAATAAAAAATACAGTAGTATTTTAAAAAAGCAGATTTACCAAAAAAATCAGAGAATCAGTGTTTTTCTAAAAAAAAAAAAAAAAAAAGGGCCGAAACTCACACACATCGTACAACCCGCTTTGCCTACCCTACAAGGTTCCATCCAAAAAAGGTGCCAGAATTCCATTCTGGGCATTCTATGAGAAAAAAAAGCCCTGCAGAGAATATTCAAAATATACTAAATGGAAAAATATCAATGATGGAGATTATAGAGGCTATAAAAAGGCAAAAAGATGATAAGACTCCAGGTCCAGATGGATTACCTGCAGAGCTTTATAAATCATTACAAGATGTATTAAGTCCTACTTTGAAAGAACTGTGTAATGAAATACTTTGCATGCTAAAATACCAAATACATGGATTGAAGCCAATATTACCTCGATACCCAAAGAAGACTCTGATCTAACGGAAATAAAAAACTATAGACCAATATTGTTATTAAATGTAGACTATAAAATTTTCACCTCAATAATAGCAGAAAGACTAAAGAAATTTTTGATCGAATTTATACATATAGACCAAAATGGTTTTCTACCTAAAAAACAGATAAAAATAATTTAAGAATGATTCTTGGTGTGTTAGAGTACTATGAAATGCATCCAGGGAAACAGATGGCTTTAATATTTCTTGATGCGCAGAAAGCGTTTAACAATGAAAACTGGCAATTCATGTTTTAGCAACTTGCGGAAATGGACTTTGGAGAAAACTTTATAAATGTAATTAAAATAATTTATTGTAAACAAACAGCCAAAATAATTGTAAATGGTGATTTTACAGAAAACTTTAACATTAAAAAAGGCACAAGATAGGGATGCCCACTATCTCCATTACTATTTATACTAACACTGGAAGTATTGAACAGAAACATCAGACAAGATATAGAAATTAAAGGACTGGAGATAAAAGATGAAAAATATAAACTATAAGCATTTGCAGATGACTTGGTTTTTATATTGGAAGATCCATTGGAAACAAACACTAAACTTATGGAGAAAATAGAAAAAATTGGAGAAGTGGCAGGATTGAAAATAAACAGAGAAAAGACTAAAGTGCTAACAAAGAATCTAAGAAAATAACAAAAAAATCATCTAACAAAAAACAAATCTTCAAATAGTTAAAAAAGTCAAATATTTGGGAATTTATCTAACAGCAAGATGTGTAACACTAAAAGAAGATAATTATGCAAGACTACTAAAACAAATTGGATCTGGAAAAGTGGAAAAACCTACAACTTTCAATGCTGGGGAAAATAGCAACAGTGAAAATGAATATCTTACCAAAAAATACTCTTTTTATTTCAAACGATTCCTGTAAGGCTGGGAAAAACCTTTTTTGATGAACTGACTACAACAATACTGAAATTTATCTGGTAAGGAAAAAAAGCCAGAATTATATTGAAAATGCTACAAGAAGCGAAAGAAAGTGGAAGATTTGGACTGCCAGATTGGACATTATACTACCAAGCAACTATATTAACATGGCTTAAAGAATGGATAATGCTTAGAGATAAAAGACTATTATACCTAGAGGGACATGACCTACAAATTGGTTGGCATGCCTTTCTGTGGTATGGGAAGAATAAAACACATAGATACTTTCAAAACCACTTTATAAGAAATGCACTTATTTCAGAATGGGAAAAAATAAAAGCAAAAATTTGTATTAAGATACCTGGATGGCTTTCAATAATGAAAGCTTTTGCTTATCCTAATTTAATTAATTACAACAAAGTTGTGACTTATAAAGATATTTTGGACAATGAAGGAAAATCGAAAGACAGACAAGACCTACAAGAACAAGGTATTGATATATCATGGTGGCCATATCTGCAAATTCAAACGAGATATGAAAAAGATGTTAAAACAATGGGATTCCATAAGGAACAGACAGAATTTGATCAGATACTGTTAAAAACAGATGAAAAGTTGATTAAGAAACTCTATAAATTTAAACTTAAAGATGGAGGAAGAACAAGTTAAAGAAACGATGATAATATAGAATTAGAAAACTGGCAAAAGTTATGGGAAAGAAATGTAAAATTAACTAAAGCAGTGACATATAAAAAAAACTTATATAAAATGTTTTACAAATGACATATGACACTAGTGAGATTAGCAAAAATGTTTAAAAATACTTCAAACAAGTGTTGGAAATGCAAACAAAGACCAAATACTTACTATCATATCTGGTGGACATGCCCAAAAGCAAAAAGATTTTGGTTAAAAATACATTTATGGTTGGAGAAAATGACTAAAAAATAAATAGGCTTTAAGCCAGAATTATTTTTGTTAGGAATAATAGGAGCAAATTATAAGAAAGTTTGTATATATTTAATTTTACACGTACTAACTGCAGCAAGAATTGTATTTGCCCAACATTGGAAAAATGAAAATTTACCCACTAAAGAAGTATTAAGAAAATTTTAGAGTGTGCGGAAATGGACAGATTGACTTTAAAGATAAAAGAGAAATGCTGCTGCCATGAGGCGAAGCCAGTGGGGGAAGAGGGATTGGACCCACACGTCCCACTTCCTGGAGTCCTGGCACAGCCTCTCATGCCATCCCACCCGTGCTGCGACATGATGCCACATTCCCATGATGCGGCGGCATTGCGGCAGAATACTATGATGCAGTGCGCGTGGGTTCAATACCTCTTCCCCCACTGGCTTCGCCTTGTGTCAGCAGCACTGGCAGCTGCCCCCCAACCCGGCCCGTTTCCCAGCTCCATTATCAGCAGCAGCTCCCTCAGCAGCCTCTTACACCGCCCCACTGGTGCTGTCGCCGATTTTGGCAATACCGCTGCATCACGGTGATGCGGTGTTGTGCTGCACCGGTGGGGCGGCATGAGAGGCTGTGGCAGATACCGGAAAGCAGGGCACGTGGGTCTGATCCGCCTTCCCCCACTGGCAGCTCCCCCCCATCCCAGCCCATTTCCCCAGCTCCGCTACAGGCAGGATCTCCCTCGAGTGGTGCTCTGCACAGCTGGTCAATGTATCTCTATGGCTTCTGCCTTCATTTTTTCTGTTTCTGGTCTCGCCCTCCTTCAGCAGTAGTGGGGCTTGTGTGGCAATGGCGGTTGTCCATATTTCAGTGAAGGCGACTGAGCCGGAGCCCATGGAAGTGGAGGAGGGCAAGCTGTTGCTTCAGATTGGAGTCCTCGCTACCTCCTCATCTCTGCTACAGTATCAGTAGAGGAACTGGCCGTGCTGGTGGGGTGCTCGTTGAGGGAGCTGCTGCTGGTAATGGAGCGGAGGAAACAGCCCTGGAAACCAGCCCAGTGGTGCTGTGGCCGATTTCAACACGCCACCGCATAATGGGGATGTGACATCATGCTGCAGCACCAGTAGGGTGGCATGAGAGGCTGCAGCAGGATACTGGGAAGCAGGACGTGTGGGTCCGATTCCCCTTCCCCCACTGGCTTTGCCTCGTGGGAGTGGCACTGGCAGCTCCCCCCCTCCCAGCCCATTTCCCTGGCTCCATTACTGGCAGCAGCTGCCTCAGCGAGTGCCCTACCAGCACGGCTAGTTCCTCTGCTGACACTGTAGCAGAGGCGAGGGGGTAGCGGGGGCTCCTGTCTGAAGTAACAGATCAGCCTCTTCCATGGGCTCTGGCTCAGTCACCTTCACCAAAATACGGAAGCCCAGTATAGCCGCCATTGCCCCACAAGCCTCGCTACCACCGAAGGAGGGTGAGACCGGAAACAGGAAAAGTGAAGGTGGAAGTCATAGAGATACGCTGACTGGCTGTGCAGAGCGCCACTCGAGGTAGTGACTGTGCCCATCAGAAGCATGGACTGTGATGGCAACTTGAGAAATTATCTTTTGCTCAGCCTCAGGAGATGGGTTTTCATGTTATCCCGCCTCATGGTTGCCAGAAAATAGGAAAAAGTATCTTTGTAGGTTAGGTGAACCTGATAATTATTAATATTCTCAATTTGCACAATAGGGGATGGGGGTTCTGCCATGAATCAACCAGTTCCCCGAACTAAAAAAAAAATAAGTACCGGTTCTACCAAACTGGTGTGAACCAGCTGAATCCCATCACTGTGTGTAATACTTTGATTCCTAAAAGCATTAGAGCATAAGAGGAGTTAGCACCTGTATTCAGCTCTTCAAACAAGCTGTGTACTTCCTTGATCTATCAAGTATTTTTGCTTTTCACAATAAAGCAAGTGTGCGGTTTTTTTCAGGGAAAAAACAATGTGGCTTTCCATGTACACACAGGCAGAAACAGCTAGGCACAGCTTTCTAACTAGCCATGTGAGTCTTCCATCCACTGTCTGTAAAAGTGAAGGCATAGCAGCTAAAAAGAAAGGAGATTTTATATAAATTAACCTGTTTTGGGAGATTTCACATACCCAAATGTATATAACTCTGCAATAGCCTTCCATTTATGACTTATTATTAGCCACTTTTCATTGTTGTGGTTGTTATTATTCCAAAATTTATGGTGTAAAAACTACAATGTTCGGCACTACTCAAAATTGCTTCTACTTTATTTCCTTATCATTCATTAATTTTTAAAAAACATGACTCTTTCTAGAAAATGATCAAAAGCACATGAGTCAAAATGAAAACAATCGTGAATGTAGGAGGAAAAATGTGTATTATTGTCGGTGATATCACCGGCAATATTTAATCAGATTATAAGATATGCAACCATTTTATTTATAGCGAAAATACATTCCATAGAAACTATTGTGTGAGCTAAAGGGAAATTTACCATTATCCTAGGTTTCTCTATCCACAATACAGCTGAAATCATACATCATGCTTGTTAGTTTTAACCATTGTTTAAGATTAATTACTAATGCATCATTATTAGAATGCACAAACCATTGTCTATTGTAAGCCGCAATGTTGTACTCATTTTAAATAAAAACCAAGCAAAATACATTATGGCTTAATACACTATGTGAACATCCCTGTCTTTACAAAATCTATTAGTTTATTAGATCCATTAGTTAACACTTTTGTGATCTCCAGTACAGTCAGTAAGAATTTTCTGTATCCACATATCAATTGAACCCACACGTCCAGTGGGTTAGAGCCAGATTAAAAGCATTCAACAGCAACAACAACATGAACTACATGTGGGACTATATTTATGAACTTCAAGATTCAGTGTTAAAAAGTCAAAATGACTTTGTTATCCAGGTAAATTCAAGAACTGATGAAGCTGTACATTTCTGCATTTTTTATTAAAAGGAAGTGCTACCTGATTGGTCGATTCTCTTTACTATCAAAAAGTGAAAAAATAATTTCTAGATCTTCTCCTAGATTGGAACACATCAGACTCTTCATCTGCACAAAGAGATGGTGGCTGCTTGCTGGGACTGGTGTGTCTTTTTTGCGATGACGATGCTCCATCTAAGTATAGAGTACCATACAAAGATCAAACCAGTTTATGCTTATTTTAATTTATGAAATATAAAGATACAGAAAGGCATTTTCTTGCTCATCACTTTATTTTTGTCAACCACTTGTGATTGTTTAAATCAAACATTTGAAGTTGTTCATCTGTTTCTTGTGAGACAATACTAGACTACATCTTATTTCTAGATTCATTAGCCAATCATTATTTCAGATAAACACAAAGGTCACTTTTTCACATATTCATTACATTTTTAGCATCCTTTTCCAGAAACCTTAGGGTAGATTTAATAGTTTTCTTTCTGCATGGCAATCTTGTAAATTAGGGGAGGAAGGGAGGGAAGGAGGGAGGGAGGGGGAGGGGAGGAGAGAGGGGGGTCAAAGGTTGTTTGGGAATTATGGGATTATAGTCAAACAAGCTAAGGAATTACTAAAGAGGCTGTTTTTAAAAAAATATGTTAAAACATCATTGACTTCACTATTTGGGAGATACTGGTTCAGTGTTCCTTCTCCTACTTATACTAAGTACAGTGCATGTTTACTAATGTTTTTATTACATTTTAAAAGTACTTTATTACACAAGTAGAATACTAAAGTCTAGTTCTTCTGATTGGTGGCAAACTGAATATTGGAAACCTATTATTATTTTTAAGTAATTCAAGTTTTTCTAACAATAATACACAACTTGACTATGTATTTGCTTTTTCTGCTGTACAGCAAGGCTATCCAAGTGTACCATACAATTGGCTGTAAAAGTAAATTCATGAGAGAACATTTATCTGCACAAATTTCACAGTAAATTTAGAGCTGAAAAAAAATCAGCATAAATGTATGGATTAAGAGTCACTACATGTTATTGCTGTAATCCATGGTTTCAAAATCCTTACAAGTTGTCCTTGCAACACAGCAGCATCCACCCATAAGTGGAAGAGTTTGTCATATGCATTCAAAATTCCTGCACATTTTTCGTCTATTTCCTTCGCATGTATTTCCAAGCTGTGGTCAAAATAACTCCAAAGTCATTGGATTGGGCAAAAAATAAATCAGATAAATCTAGAAAAGTCTTCTAGAATATGTATATAATGATAAGAAACATCAAGGAAAAAAAATAGCACAGGTGCCAAATGCCGAATCCCAGTTTATTGACTGAGTTGCATCTGCAATGACTATTCTTGTGGAAATTTCAATGAGCTTAACAGAATTGAAATAAAGTGAGTTGTTTGCTTACCAATCTGTACAATTCTGTAATACTGATTTCCTCTGGATCCACCATTGCATATTCCTTTCTTGGAACCAAATCTAACCCTAGCTGTCTGCAAATGTATACAAAAAGACTAGTTAGAAGAACATTTTAAAATCCTTAGTTAAAATCTATAGAAAACATACAGCATTTAAATCTGAAGTAATCTGTCATTCTTGTTACCATTATCCCTGTAAGGAAAAATATGCAATGTACCATTTGCTCTATGATTACTCCAAATTACAGATAATAAAAAGCAGTATTAATAGAACATATTTCTGCCATTTCTATTGCATGGTTTTATTCTTTATTCACTCTCTACTTACTATCTAACTTTGAAAATTATGTACTAAAATACCAATAAAGCATTAATAGCAAATAACTCACATTTTTGACAACACAGTCCAGAAAAAGAACAGCTTAGAAAAGCAAAGCAAAAATCAAAATAAAAGTCAGAATTAAAATAAAGAGCTGTTTTTAATTAAAGCCCTCACTCTCTCTGTTTCCAATATTCATAAGGGTTGTGCAAAAGTTAAAAAATGGCTAGTTTGCAAGTTTGCTAGTTTGGGAACAAATGCATCTTTTATCTATCTATCTATCTATCTATCTATCTATCTATCTATCTATCTATCTATCTATCTATCTATCTATCTATCTATCTATCTATCTATCTATGGAAGATATATTTATATCTTCTGTATCTATCTACATCTATCTACATCTTTCATATATATATATATGAAAAAGGGAAACAAATCAGCTGTGTACACACACACATTTGGGACAGAGAGAGATCTGGAAGAATATGCAGTTGTTCCCAAATATCTGTGTGTGTGTGTGTGTGTGTACACACAGCTGCTTTGTTTCCCTTTTTTCCTACCATTTCCCCCTGAAAATAAGACCCGGTCTTATTTTTTTTTCCTCCAAAAGAGGCACCAGGTCTTATTTTCAGGGGGTGTCTTTTCCACTCACCTCATGGCAGTGGCACTGACAGCCCCACCCAGCCAACCCACTTATTCTGCAGCTGAAGGAGCAGCTTCATTCTGCAGCAAAGAGTAGAGCTCTGTCCTATATTTTGCAGTCAGAGGCCTTTCCGGAAGGCCTCTGCAGCCAAGAACTGAGCTATGGATTGAATCCATAGCTCAGTTCTCAGCTGCAGAGACCTTCCTGAAAGGCCTCTGACTGCAAAATGCAGGCCGGGAGATGCCACAGAAGAGGAGACACAGGTTTCGATTCATGGGAGGCTTGGTAAGTAGGCGTGGCGTGCATGGGACAGCTTGCCCTAGCTTGATTTTTTGATTTTTTTGACCTCACCCCAAAACTAGGGCTTACTTTTGGGGTAGGGCTTATATTAGGTCCACCCCCAAAAATCAAGCTAGGGCTTATTTTAGGAGTAGGTCTTACTTTAGGGGAAACATGGTAGCTAGTTGACCTTGGCTGGTCTCAAACAGCTAAACAGGGTTGAACATTGGGTGAAAGATCATTAGATAATCCCAGAGCTGTGGGCTAGACTGCAAAATTAAAAAAAAATGGAAGAAGTCAATGATAATATTTCTAGACTGCATACTTCTGAAATATTTATCCATATGACATGGTTCATTTTCTAAGGTCTGTCTATTTATCTTTCAGGAAGCATACATCAAAGAGATATAAAATAAAGTCCTAATATATTTGACACTTTTGAAGAATGAGCCAAAAGAGCCAAACATCCACCACCTTACTACTGGAATGTAGCTGTTAAGAGGAAACGAAAGGACCAAAATGTTTTCTAGTCAGCTCTTTTTACAAATACTATCAATATGAGAAACCCACTGTTTTTTATTTTTTCTGACAAGCTTCATCTCTATTCTATAGATGTGCTAGTTAGTTTTTCAAACTCAACAAGGTAGTGTCAAGAAAGCAGGAGCTATGCCTAGCAGCATTCAAAATATATTCAACAAAATATTGTTCTATGAATTCTTCATTTTCCAAAACCTTTAACAGCATTATGTATTCAGTAATAAGCAAAGAGAAGGACTTGAATGGTTTATGCCAGTGGGTACTTTTCTTACTTTGTAACTTTTTCTGACTTTACCTGAAGAGAAACACATCTCACTCAGTGTAGCAGAAAAATCAAATTTACATGCAATATCAGTCAAAGGCAATAGAAGTACTAACAATATTTATTTTTGAAAATTAAATAGCAAGTTTAATAGGCAGCTTTAATAGAGTGTTCATCTAGGGACACCTAAGGAGCATTTTGCCCTTGGTGCAATCCCATACCTTAAGTAGTCCTCGACTTACAAACCCAATTGGGATCAGAATCTTGGGTGTTGAGCGAAGTGATCATTAAGTGAAATGTGACTCAATGACCGCAATCCTGGTTGTCATCGTTAAGCAGACAGAATGAAGTAGCTCCATGCTGAGATAAGCTCTCCTCTATGCACAGAAGGAAACTATTCCATCAGGCTTTAGGATCGGAGCTCGGATCTTGAGGATCTCAGCAATGTTTCTCCGCTCTCCAGGAGAAGTTTGTCTCTCCTCAGTGCATTGAAAAGAACTGCTCTGGTGGATTGCAAGAATAGAGGTTGGATCTTCAGGATATGAGCTCCATTTCTCCACCCTGACAGAAGAATTCATCTCCTCTCAGTAAGCAGGTCTTTCAGCCAGCCCCCAGAGACAAGAGGGAGTCATTTCAGCAGGCCATAGTAATTTGCAAACTTCCCTCCTGGATCCCCCATTGACTTTCTGGGGAAACCAACAGATGGTGACTGCAAATGGTCATCACATGATGAGCACTCAGATAACAATTATGTGACAGGAGAGGGGGGACACAGCACATTTTTTGATGGCTGAGCAGGAGAGCTTTATGGTCCATAAAGTATCTTTCAGAGGTCACTGTAATTTTGAATGGTTGTTAAACATTCAGTCATTAAGTCGAGGACAACCTTTTATTTGGAATATATGCAAACATATATTCTCACATTTTTTTATAGAACAGATATGATGATCTTTCAGGATTTCCTTGTCTAGTATCAATGTGGTGGGAAAGATCTACCTCAGGAGTAGGCAACCTTGGCTCTTTTATGACTCGTGGAATTCTGGGAGTTGAAGTCCACGAGTCATAAAAGAGTCAAGGTTGCCTACCCCTGATCTACCGGGTCAGCTCCTACAATCTGTCTGGAACATCCAAACCATAATACAGTGCCATCCTATGTTACTGAACAAAGAAGGCTATAAATTCAGGCAATTGGCAGCATTCAAAGAACTATAGAGCTTTTCTTATCATTTCTTTTTGCCTGCAGCCTTCACAAGACAAACTTCTGATCTCCTACAGAATTGTCTCAAATAGACAGAGGATTGGAACTGGCTCTTTGGCAAGTAAAGAACTGTCTTGCACTTAAACAAGAGGTTTTATTAGAAATTGTTTGTTTATTGAGTATAAACAGCCTAAGGACATCAATAAAGGTTTTTTAAACCTTATTGAAAAGCTACTTATTCTTTATGTCACAGCCCACTTGGAACAAGCTATCACCACATAGCAAAATCCACTAACTTTTTGTCATCTTGCCATAAACATTAAAATAGCAATGAATGGCAACCAATGTAACAGTTTTATAAATTGACTCTTACTCACTCATTGCCCCAATCCAAGCGAGCAGTAATGTGTCTTTTGACATCTTTCATCCGATCATGGGTCAGATGGCCCACCAGCACCTGCCGTCGCAGATCTAGGATTTCATTCATTATGTGCCACAGTCGGTGAAATAGATCACCTTCATTTCTCTGTCAAATACAGAAGCTAATTTTCAGATTATCAAAATCATGTAGTTTATTCAAATCTGTTGATGTTTCAGAACTATAATCCAGGAAAAGATAAAATAAACCATGTTTATTGAGATGGAAATAGTCAAACTGTCAAGGTTCCCACTGATGAACCTAACCAAGCAAGCACCTCCGAGACAATCCAATCTCTTCATGCAAAACTTAATTATTGAATACATCATTTTAGCATGATTGCAAGCAAAACCAGCTCTAGCAAATCCCTCCCAATCCATATAGTAAAGGTGTAAAATTCCTCCTCCTCCCTTTTAGTCCGGTCATGTTGCCCAATTAGGTGTTAAAATATTGTTATGAGAAAGTGTCTCTGAGTTTGGCCAGACACCTGGTGAACTGTGTCCTTGGTTCTCATGGTCTGACTTCTTGATTTCTGGAGCCAGCATTCCATTCTCCTTCCCACCTCCCCAGGTTCTTGGCAAGCTGAGAAGCAATCATTGTCACAACAGCAAACACGCTTCTAACTTGACAGGCGGACCTGCCTAAAACCTGGAAGGAACCCGAAAGATAGGAAACACATATTAAGGCCATTCCTCTCCCTCTATTCCCTACTTAAGGGGCCTCTGGTTTCTGAGGGTATTTTGCATGAAATCTATTTATCACGTGCTCTACTCTGATGTTGTGAGGTGTGATCCATCTCACTTCCGCTATCGGATAACCCTTCCACTGCACTCGGTACTGTAATTTGCCCTTGTGGAACCTAGAATCTAAGATCTGTTTGACCTCATAATGTCTTTTGCCCTTCATTATTATTGGACTGGGGGCTTCCTTTTCCACTGGTCTTTAGTCTAGATCTCTGGGGCAGTTTCAGTAAGCTGCAGTGAAATACTGGGTGCACTTTATCCAATATTCTGGGCAGTTTTAGTTCTACCATAACTGGGTTAATGATTTTCATGATGGGGAAAGGCCCTATGTATTTAGGATCTAGTTTCTTGCAGGGCTGCTTCAACGTTAGGTATTTTGTAGATAGATACATTTTATCTCCTACGTGAAACATCCCTTGAGGAGCTCACTTCTTGTCTGCCGCTTCTTTTGACTCTCTGTCGCTTTGGCTAAAGCTTTCTTTACATTACCCCAGGTGCTTTTGAGGGAATCCAGCCATTCAGTCAATATTACTGATGAGGGAAGTTCTTGTGGGCATTCTGGCATTGGCATGAAATCCACCCCTGTAGCTACCTTAAAGGGGGTAAGCTGTGTGCTACTGTGCACTGCATTGTTGTATGCCACTTCAGCAAATGGCAGGAAGTCTGCCCAGTTAGATAGTTGGTAGTTGACATAGCAATGCAGGTATTGTTCTACCATGGCGTTAGCTCATATTGCGGCCCCATTTGTACTCAGATGAAAAGCCGAGCTAAGCCCCTGGGAGGACGCTATCAGCCTTATGAATTTTGCTGTAAATTGGATCCCTCTATCCAAGATTATGCACTTGGGCATGCCGTGCAACTGATTAAGTATCCTGCAGAAACATCCTACCTAGATTCTGGGCTGATGGGAGGTTGGAGCAAGCTATGAAGTGGGCTTGCTTCAAGAACAGGTCCACTACTGTCCATATCACTGTATTTCCTCTACTTTCTGGAAGTTGGACTATGAAGTCCATAGCTATTTCTTCTCAAGGCTGGGTTGGGTCAGCCACCTACTGCAGCAACCCCAGACTCTTCCTTGGTCTTAGTTTCATGGCTATACATACTGCACAGCTTTTCACATAGCTCTCAATGTGCTTTTTCATCCATGGCCACCAGAATTTCCGTTTAGTTAAGTGTAAGATCTTTACAAATCCAAAGTGGCCAGCTTGCTTAGCATTGTGGGTCTTTTGTAACACGTGTAATTGTAGACTGTCAGGAACATACAACTTATTCCCCTTCCAGGCCAATTCCCCCTTTGACATTAGCTCCCTGCAGTGGGTCCCGAACCATGCATTAGTTACAGTTCCTTCTTCATCTGCTGCGTAAACATGTCAACAGGGCGGGGAGGTCTTTCTTTTCACTTGCTGCCTGGTGATCACTTGCACTGCCAGCTGCCTTGTGTGGATAACAGGATTCACCTCTTCTTGCGTATTTTTGTATTGGGGCATGCAGGACAATGCATCAGCCAGGAAATTTTTTTCTCCCAGAATGTATTTCAAGACAAAGTCAAACTGATTGAAATATTGAGCCCACTGAACTTGCTTTGGGGAGAGTTTTTGGGGAATCCTCAGTGCCTCTAGATTTTTGGGGTCAGTCCACACTTTGAAGGAGATCTTACTCCCCTCTAGGAACTATATCCATGTCAGTAGTGCCCATTGTACTGTGAAGGCTTCCTTCTCTCACACTGCCCACCATCTCTTGGTTTCATTTAGTTTTCTGGAGGTGAACGCACATGGATGCAGTTTTCTCTCCCCATTCTTTTGGAGGAACACTGCCTCCACAGCCACATCACTGGTGTCCATTTGATTCATGAATGGTTCTTCGACATTGGGATGCTTTAGGACTGGCTCAGCAGCAAACAGCCTCTTAAGCTTCTTGAACGCTGCTTGGCATTCCATTGTCCAGTTCAACGGCTGGCTGGGCCAGGGTTTTTCCTCTCTCCCCCTGTTTTTAATAGCTCCGTGATCAGCAGGGAGATCTTTGCAAAGGATGGGATAAACTGCAGATAGAAGTTTGTGAATCCTAAGAAGCTTTGAAACTGTTTATGGGTTCGTGATGGACTTCACTTTCCCTGGGTCCATTTCTCCTCCTTCGCAAGACACTCTATAGCCCAGGTAGTCTAGACTGGTCTTGTAGAATTCGCATTTTGACAGCTTGACGTACAGCTTAGCATCCAAAACTTTTTTCGGCACCTGCCATACTAACTTTACATGCTCCTCCATTGTCTCAGAATATATGAGGATGTCATCCAAATACACTAGGACCCCTCTTGTATAGGTGCTCATACAACACTTTGTTGATTAATTGCATGAACACAGCAGGGGCTCCTTGTAGCCGAATGGCATCACTTTAAACTGGTAGCACCATAACAGGCAGTTAAAGGCTGTCTTCCATTTACTGCCTTCCTTGTTTCTCACTTGCTAATATGCCTCCCTGAAGTCAAACTTGGTGAACACCTTTCCTTTGGCTAGATGCCCCAGCATGTCTTTCATGAGAGGGAAGGGGGTACATGTTTTCTACACATACATGCACTATTTATCCCATGGAAATCAATGCACAGTCTAAGAAAACCATCTTTCTTCTCTTTAAACAGCACTGGGGCTGCCACCCAGGACTTTGCGGCTTGGATGAAACCCCTAGTTAGGTTTTGATCAATGTAGTCCCTCAACTCCTTCATTTCTCCTGCAGTCATTGGGGAGTTTCGCTCTAGGCAAGATCTCAATTTCACAGTCTGTGGGATGAGGGGGGGGGGCAAGACATTGCACTCTTTCTCGCTGAACACCTCTATCAGGTCCCAATACTCCCTTGGGATAGAAGGTGTTTCTGATGTTGGCTCTGATGCTGCCTTTGTGCGCTCAGGCTCCTTCCTCTCATCCCCCTGATGTTTGGCTTCATTGTGCTTCCTCCCGGGGGATTGGGACCCTTCTCTGCCATCACTATGTGCCTCATGTTCTTCCCCCAGTGTATGATAGGACTCCACTTGGCTAGCCAAGATAGCCCCAATATCATGGCTTGTGCCATCTTTGGGACCGCCATGAACTGAACGGTTTCTTCATGGTTCCCTAACCTCAAGTACACTAGCCTGGTTAGGTAGGAGGCATGCAGTCCCCCCACCAGGGAGCCGTTGACTTATTCAAATTTAAGGGGCTGGCATAGCTTTCTTACCCGCAATCCCAGTTCACATACCATCTACAAGCTGATTAAGCGTTGGATGCACCTGGAGTCTACCAGGGCTTTCACCACTCCCTTCACTCGCAACTTGGGTACTAGGATATCACTTGGGTCAATAAGGGACTGATGGTTTCACTTACCATTGGGTCATCCTCCCTCTTGCTTTTGCTCTCATAGAGGTTTAGCTGCAAGTCCTCTCCAGGTGGAGTTCCCTCCCCTTCGCTGCTTGTGGGGGGGGGGAGATCTCAATGACCTGATGCACCACCCAGGACTTCTCCTTTCCCTTAGTTGGTGCCTTCTTCAGTTTTGGATGTATTGGGTTTCTCAGGGTTGTCCTGGGGGCTGGCGCTGGACAAACCACTGCCCAGTGGCATTCCTGGCTGCATCGGAAGCATGGCCCAGGTGTGGGTCTTGGAGCTTCAGGGGGGCCAGGAGCTGGTGTGGCAGGGTGCTTCTGGCCCAGCACATGTCTCCCTTGGCTCTTCTTTGGGCAGCTTTTGGTTCATCTCTGTCTCTTGTATTCCATTAGGTCTAACTCCATGTTTGTCACTAGTTGGTACCAGTCATGGATTCGCTCTGGTAGCTCTCGAGGCAAACACGTGTGGTACAGCTCTTGGTTTAGGCCATCCCTGAAATAGTGGATCAGATTCCCCACTAGCCTTCAGAATTCTTGAATGTACTCCGCCACTGGTCTGCTTCCCTGCCTAATGGCCTGGATTTCAGACTCTGCCTGCTGGATTTGCATATTGTCTCCAGAGCAGTCTCTGAGTTCCCCCAAGGAAGCACTGGGGTCTCCGAATTCGGGTGTCTCTTCATCATGGAGTCCAATCACCCACTCCACTGCTTCTCCCTCAAGGTTGGCCACAACAGCATCCACACAAGTGCATCATCAATATACATTGGCCCATATCAGTCCAGGTGTGCCTACACCTGGTTCAGGAAAAATGCCAACTTCTCCGGATTCCCATCAACCAGGAGCCCCGGCATGCCCCAGTATGCCGGTAGCCATCTTGCTCTGTAAAGGAAAGGCCTGGGCTGGGCACAGCAACTGCTGGTTGGGGGGGTGGCTGCCTGATGGCCCCATCGTTGGGTTGCCACTCGCTGGAACCCGGCAGCTCCTTGGGTTGGGGCTAGACTGGGCTGAGAAATGGTGGT